GACGATGAGAATTCCATCTCGTAAAATCACTCTTTTATTGCATTTATTTAATAATAATAATATTCGAATGTCGTTTCATTCTTCGATCGTCGGTCCATTCGACTGATAATTGAATAGTCGGCTATTCGTTGACATCTCTAATAAATAGTTACAAAACATCGATTATGCAATTTTTAATTTTTGTAAAAAGAAAAAAATAAACCATGTGTTTATGTGCACTTTTCTAACAACCATGAAGTACTTGTTTATTTGGAATCGCGAGAAAATCAACTTATTTGACTAAAATGTATTATTAGATTTTTGTCTATGGTAAAATACTCTCGGCTATATGATTTCGGTTTATTAAAGTACTGCCGTCGATATGTATCAATACGCAATATATTAACCTCGATCTAAACACTATTACATATACATTAAGAGTATCGCATTCTTAGTGCAAGAGACATCTACTAGTATTTGGAATAATACAGATTGAAAGTGTGTAAGACTTGTGGGTTCAGATAAACGCTAATTACGGAAGTAACTGAAGATTATGACAAGGTTATGTGTCACTGTGCTACGAAGAACTAATAAATTATCAGATATTTGCGCAGGAACATTCGGAAATTATATATAATTATCTCTGAAATATATAAATTTATGTAAGTTTATTCCTAGCATTAAAAAACAGGTTTACAAAGAGTTTTGATAAAAGAACTCCTTTTAAATATATCTAAATATATTTATTAACAAGACTGAATGTTTCCTTTTAATGGTTAACATTTTATGATTACGTTTCGGTTCAGTGGTTTTGAAAAGGCGGGAATTTAAAAAAAAACACAAAAGATCACTTGAAACTTTGTAAAAGTACAATGTTTGGGAAATGTTTTATTCTTTATCTTTACATGCATATTGATGAAAAATGCCAAAGACTATGGAGAATTTCTTACACTTAATTATCATCATTAATTGCTCCAAAATTTACCTGTCCCCCTTGTTTGATTTTAATCATTTTTAGCATCGTAGCCCCGGTCTGACTATCAAAACTTTCAGTGGTAAAATGTCTAAATAGTTTATATATATATATATATATATATATATATATATATATATATATATATATATATATATATATATATATATATATATATATATATATATATATATATATATATATATATATATATATATATATATATATATATATATATTAGTGATGTCAAATCGGTCAATATTTGATAATCGGTTACTCGGACGATTTTCCGATCGAGTACCCGGGTACTCGGTAAAATTGTAAAATACAAATGTGTTCATTTCATTGAGACCAGTTAAGCCCTGTTTAATCCCATCGATGTTTTTTTTTTAACGTTTTCTATGCCTGTACACAAACATCGAGCAAAACGAAAACGAAAATGATTTTTTTCACTAAATTTTTTTAACAAATAAACACAAAAGATAAAGGAAAAAGAGACGGTGTCGAGATCGCTAGACGTACAGTATATTATTTAATTAATAGTTGTATGTTGGTTGTTTTCCCCATATACGCTATGTTTACTTTGCACAGCTAATTCTAAACATTATTTAAATCTTTAGTTCTTTCTTAAATTTTTTTTTTCACTTTTGAAGTGGTAGCGGCATTTCTTTGCATGTCCGAATTCGCTACCGTATGCGACTGAACTAAATTATTTTAGGATAATAAACCCTAATTAAACAATGTTCATTAAATACTAATCATTAAAGCCATCCAAAAAATAACGGATCACAAGAGGTGATAACGCTGTGTACCAGGTGATAATTACTGTACAAACAAGTGCACGGCCACAGACAATAACGGGTATTAACAGGTGTGGGTGACGCTAATTACAAGGAAACATAAACAATTCATTTTGAAATTGCATTTTTATAAGTTTTTGATTTAAAAAAAATATATACTTTGTTCTTTGAAATATGAAAAAAATAATATACATCCGAGTAACCGAAAAGCGATTTTAGTATTCGATACTCGGACGTTCGATCGAGTACCCGGTTAACCGGGTACTCGTTGACATCCCTAATATATATATATATATAAATATATATATATATATATATATATATATATATATATATATATATATATATATATATATATATATATATATATATATATATATATATATATATATATATATATATATATATATATATATATCAGGGATGGGGTCAATTACTTTAAAAAGTAATTAATTAAATGACAATTACTTTGACTTTTTCTTCAATTAAATTACAATTAAATTACTGGCTTTCTAAGATGTGTAATTAATTAAATTACAATTACTTTGCAAAAGTAATTAATTAAATTACAAATTACATTTTTAATTTTGTTGAATTTTTTTATAATCCTTGTCAATGAATATACTGAACATCATTCATCTGTATATAAGCTCAGCCAATACAAGAAATACATGTAATAAGCTATATAGGCATTGTGTATTTTGTGGTTTAATTTATAATTTTTATTTGCTAAACGTTAAAGAACTATCTGAGATCAGTTTGATTTGCAAAGCCTACATGTACATAAATTGCATGGCTTATGATATTTGATTAAAAGTGGGTATTTTAATAGAGTGAAATGAGTCGCAACTGCAACCTCTCTAATTAAATGTTTCCTTTGAAAGTAACCTGAACATCCTAAATTGCTATTCATGGTGAACATTTTTACTTCAAAATAATAAAGTACAGAACATAACTTTTTCAGATACAAAATTTATTCATTAGAAATCTCTTTAAATGTTAAAATAATTATAAAATTGCAAGATTTTCTTTTTCTAAAGCTAGTGGGGCATTTTTAATTGAAATAATTATCTCCATTGGCTTTGTCTTCTAAATCATGGAATGAATACCTCTTTAGAGGGGTTGATTTGTTTTGATTGCAATTTACAGATGTGATTTGGAGGGCAATTATATCTCTTTCCAACAAGAGAGAACTTAATTAATGACACACACAATCATTTTCTTTATTATTGAAAAACAACAAAAATTGAAATATAATAAATGTGTGTTTCATGACTGAAAAGTTGGCCTAAGAAGGGTGGTACAAAGTTTTGATAAACATGAAATAAAAAAATTCAATTTTACATAATGATTAGAAAGAAACTAGATTATTATTATGAAGTCCATCATTTATTTGCTCGTAAACATTAACTTAAGATTTTGTATAATTGAAGGATTGAGAATATGTTTTACAGTAAAATAAAAGACAGTAAAATGGGGAGGTAGTTGTGACAATATATCATGAATGTGTATTATATAAAGTAATTGAATGTAATTGAAAAAGTAATTGAAATTACATGGTATTTTTTCAGTGCAATTAATTAAATTACAATTACAAGTAATTGAAAAAAATGTTCAATTACAAATTACTTCCAATTACTTCAAAAAATGTAATTAATTACGGTCAATTACAATTACTTTTTTCAATTACCCCATTCCTGATATATATATATATATATATATATATATATATATATATATATATATATATATATATATATATATATATATATATATATATATATATATATATATATATATATATATATATATATATATATATATATATATATATATATATATATATATATATATATATTATTCACACTTCCATGTACCCGTATAATTAATTGCTAGTTGCATTTTAAAATATTATTTGAAATATAAAAATATATGTCTTTACTTCATAACCACGTCTCCATGGTCTCTTGAATTATGTTGATAAGTCGTACCGTAATCATTTAATTGATGTTAATGTATTGTTGAAGAATTTAAAGCTACCCTCTAGAAGTATTTTACTATTCTAAGGTTTATTTTTTTTTAAATTAGGTAATTCGATTAACTGACAAAAATCAAGGCAGATGGTAAGTAGCTCGATTGTGTAGATCAGAATTTCCTCTGCTCTTCTGAGCATGTGTAAAATATGAAGTTATATATGTATGCAAAAATATCAAGGTTTAACATAAACGTACAACTTGTAGATAATGATACAAGTATATTATACAAGTTTTTTTTTTAAATCTTATATATTTTTTGAGCTGTGTGTTGGGGGGGGGGGGGATTTTCAGTTGGTTTGTCTTATAGTACATTGTATGTACATTATTATTGGAGACTTTCTAATTGTTTTAAATATCCATTATTTTTTTTAATTAATATGTATGACCATACCATTTATATAACGAATTAGTGATTCAAAGTAGTTGTGTGTGTGTGTGTCTGTGCTTTTGTTATTACAATGAATAGTGGTTCTCCTGCAAATTTGATAGCGAAAATGCCGCAAATATTAGTGCTTTACGTAAAGTCTGCAACACAGTAAAATTTCAAATGATGGAGAACCCTATATATATATATATATATATATATATATATGAAGGGGAGGTTAAGTAATTAAAGAAAATTAACTTCGTCATGCTTGAAAAGAGACTAGATAAATAGTATTATTTGATCTGTTCTACTTGGCAGAGATCAACAATCTAGTATATATGGCAAGCATTATAGTATAGCTGAGTGTTGCACGGATGCTTAAGACAGTTCAAGGTCCATCACTAGCTAGCATCTTCCCCACCTTTGAAGATGTATTATTTTATTCTTGATAACTATTGAATGCCAAGCTGTCCACATCAATCTCATAGTAAACTTTCATCATTATTTATAAAAGCTAATCTATGATTATTATAAGCCGTCATTAAGGCAAGGGTGTATAGTCTACTATTATCAGATAACAATGACTGTCAAGGCTTTCATATCACACCCAGCATCGTTTCGTGATATACGTTCTGCAATAAATCAATTTCTATTTTCCAAGAGCTGCAATGGCACGCTTCCTTGTCTCTTGTCTCTTTGCATAAATGCATTTATATATTCACTTAATATAATCATTAGTTAACCACAAGGTAAATTAACGAAACATAGGATTACCTTAGCACACAGTGAGCATGTCACGGATAGTAAAGATATAAAAGAAAAATACGGCGCTTTTTTCACTTTATTCAGTAAATCGAGAAAAATACATATTCATTGTGTGCATAATCATCACACAATGCATTGATATTATTACTTTTTGTAGAAATTACGAACTTTATTAGAATCAAACTGCGAGAAAATTATAAGGTGACATACCATAAATAAAAAGTTGCAGTAACGCAAAAAGGCATAAGATCGCAAAAAGTGTGTTGTTATATCTTTGAAAAGGTTAAAAATGCCAAGTAAATTAATATGCCTTTCAAAAAGGCTAAATAATGCCAAGTTAAACATTGTATACACGAGTATTATTTCATTATACAGTATATGTTTCTCCTTATACAAAGCGTATTTAAGCCTGTTTATAAGCAAGTCTGTCTTATGATCAGAAATTTATTGTTCAACATAAACGATCGACGTAATTTCACAGTGACGTCATATGTGGTCGACATATTCAATACAAAAGTATATCACGTAAATATTTGCAATTAGTCAGTCACAAATTTAAATTAATGTATAAGTAATAATACCTTCGGACTTAATCGAATTTTACTAACGTGACCGACCCGTATTGAAATCATGATAAAAGTTTTAAAATTATACCTTATTTTTAAAATAACCTGAATAAGGATTCATAATGCTAATCAAAAGGGTACTAACACGACAAAGCGTTATTATGCCTTTACTGTGCCTCTCTGAGGTCAGAGAAATTATTTTTACTTTGCTCTATAACACTCATTACCAAGGTACAATAACTCTCTCTGCGTGTCCACTCTATTCCGTGTCCACTCTTTTTATTTGTGTTATTACACCTTATGATAGGGATATCTCTTTCCGCGTTATTATGCCTTTCCGCTTTACATTAAAATGCCTTTCAAATTTTTGCGTTGTTTGATGCTCCCAAAAATGATTTCAAAATAAAAGATGCATGTAGTACTAAAAGACAGGGCATTTTTAAAATCACGATTACAATTCATCATTTGATATGAATGCAAAAACTTGTCAAGAAAATTAATTTATGTTTTTTCCATATTCAATTTCATAACTCAGACAATACAATAAAGTCATTCTTAAAGAGTGATTCTTCAATCAGTGGCCAAAACTTCCAGATGAAGGAAATAAAAATCAAAATAGAGAAATAAAATGTATATTATTACTATAATATTATACTCGCCGAATATGATATATATCTGAGCAAACATGTAAAAATAAGATAGCTAAATTGCTAGCCAAAATAAAGTGGAAATATACACTAATTTACTTTAATTGGTATACAATTATCAAGCAGAATTTCATATGCTGTGTAGCAGTGAACAAGAAATATGGTATCATAAATTCAAAGTTTAAATGAGAGATGATCTGTGGCTTTAAAGAATATGACATAACTACCGGTATTACAAACACAAAATGGCCTGTTCTGATTTGTTTTAAATAATTGTATTATGCACATGTGTTAATATTTTAAAGATTATCTTAAGTACTGACTTCGTGAGTTTGTGAAACTCAGGAAGGTTCCAAGTACGAAAAAACTATTTAAATAGCATAGATATATATATATACGATGTCCATATGAATAAAAAATAATTCTTCAGAATTGGAATGCGTGTAATATTTCAGACATACATTAATGTCTCACCGGTAAAATATGAAAGTATAATATTTTCAAAGTCTCAAGCTTACATGAACAACTGAGCTTTAAAAACAATCACCGGGTCAGCTTGAAAAGGTTTGGTAACAAAAAAGCAAACTCTTCATAAAAATAAAGATCTATAATAAACAAATACATGTATACATTTCTTAATAACCGGGTTTTAAGGGGTTAAGCAGCATGTTATTACAAAGCAGAATAAAGCGAGGACAACAACCTTGTCAAACATTCACAACCTTCCACTCAATAGGATGATACAAACAAAGACATGTAGAGTACTTCTCAGAAAAAATATGGCACATTTTTATCACCGATAAACAATATAGAGAACTCCACATATTTCATTTTATCACTATAATACATGTAGACAAAAATGTTTTCTTCTTTTTCATATTGCAACATCACCGTACGTATTTCATAGAGTTTTCAATACATTTTCACATATATTTAAAAAATAGAATAAATTTGTTAGATTTTAGAAGCAAAATATGTTGTTTTTTCATTTCATTTCGTCTGGTTGACATCATCATTAAAAATTTCATGAATTTTGAAAATATTCAATGAAAATAAGCTCTAATAAACTAGGGCTATATGAGGCTGATATAATATCAAGTTAATGCAAAGTAAATCATTCACAACTGAAGTCATACTATGCCGATGTCCCAATACATAATAAGATATAATAAAAAATTGATTATTTCAGCTCATTTCAAAGTTTTTTTTGCATCTTCTCAACTAGACATAGATACACGCAGTTCTTTTTACAAGAGGTAATTAATCATACAAGTTAAAACAGAAACCCACCATATATTTGTTTGAGTCACAAATCCAGTAGTTCTCGAAGCAACGGGTCTGTATTTGAGTACTCCATCGTATCGTCGAAGAAATGAAGTTGCATGTTCCTAGAAAAATCGTCCACCAGCTGTCTAAGGTCCGTCACAAGCATGAGTAATTTAGGTAAGGATGCAGGTTTTTTGGAATGGTTTCTCTTCATAGAAATTCTAAACGCTTCCAACACGTCATTTTGGATACTCTTAATCAACGGATCATCACTTAGTCCTTTTGTATCTATCAATAGTTTTGAATATATATATATATATATATATATATATATATATATATATATATATATATATATATATATATATATATATATATATATATATATATATATATATATATAATTTCAATAACCAGAGTTGAAGTACTATACGTAACTTTTTAAATAAATTCCAAAACACAATCACTAGTATAAAAAAAAAATCCCATATTTTTATTCACATTACATATTATATTCTTTGCCAAAATCAATTTCTATCAAATCTCACTAAGATATCAAAATATTATCTTACCGGAAATTGTCAGTAATGCACAGAACAATGCCAAGTCCATTTCTGTTAATTCCAAGCTTGTTAGTTTGTCAACTATTCTCAGAACGTCGTTCATGAGAATATTAGACGTTCTGTTCTCCTGGATCGCTTTCCTTGTTACACGTATATAGTCAGACTGGTCAATAAAGTTCACATATTTTGGTCCAATCAGGGGCTGCAACTGGAAGAGCATTGAGGAAATAAGGTTTATAATAATGGGACACTTCATTTTGTGAACTACATGTACCAAATTAGAAAATGTTTTTAAATCATTATTTTTTTTAATTATGTAATGATATTATTTTGCATTTTCTTTTATTCTTCTTTGCAAAGTCATCATCATTTTGCTTATATATATAGATAGAAAATTACCATAACAGCAGAGACTGTGATTGCCCCTTGTTTCATGAGATGGACCTTGTCCTGCATTCCAATTTCGTTGAAGTTTGGAAGGGACTTGGCGAATCGAATAACAGCATCGCAACAAGGAGATAAAACTGCTTGGAAAAGTCGGAAAAGGTAGACTGTGTCACTGCTAGCAAGAGTTTCTATTGTAGATGATGGTTCGAGCTATAATAATAAATTCTTTTTTTTAATTTATTATTTTATTTCATTTATCTTTGTATTCATTTAAAATTCATGTATTTCTTTGTTTTATTTATTCATTTATTTATCAATAAATTTAGCATTTGTAATTCTATAAGGCACTTTTTTTCAATACGTTGCAAGCAAAACAGATGGTTTCGTCAGGTATCTAAAGTTTTACTTGTGCTGTAAAAAGAGGAAAAGGGGACTTAGCATGCTATATGTTTACTTCATCTGTGGAGAAGAAGTATATTCTAAATAAAATAAAGTGCACTTAAAAACCTTCTCCTGTTGTATTTTGTAGTTTTCAGTGACAGGGAAAAGGTACTGCTGAAAGGCTGTTTTGATGACGTCAGAAAAGGTTCTAAGTTCGATGACGTAATCACTTCTATTATTCGTCATTTCTTCTTTGTCTGCCATCAACTTTTCTCTTTCAGTTTTTGGCATACGTCCAAAACGCACAGCTTTTAAATAATATTAAAAAAATAGAGAAATATGGAACATCACTTCAATTTTGATCTTAAGCTATAATTACTTCATAAACTTTCACTTTTTATTGAATGAAGGACTTACAGTCTTTTGACATTCCGGCATTTATACACCTTTGGTAACGGCAGTACTGGCATTTGTTTCGTGATGCAGTATTGATTTTACATTTACTCTGCTCAGAACATGGACGATAATGCAGATTTTTCTTTAATGTTCTTCGAAAAAAACCCTGTCAAGAAGAGAAAATGTTTTAATTTGAGCTTACTGAACAGCTATAATAATTCAGTAATATGATATATGTGAGTAAAGGAATGTAACTCGTGGAATTATATGATGAATCCAATGAGATAAAGAACAATTTTTGTTCTATTTTTCATTTTAAGATAGATTAATCCTGAGATGTACACCCCAAGAATTCAAATAAATAAACTTCTACAATATCTCACTGATATAATCGCATGCCAAATGCTTAAGCATTTCAAAGTTATTGGTTTGTCTAGAATAATTTTAATTATTTGTGTGTTCTCATTTTAATAATTTTTTAAACAGCTTTGGATATCAGATACATGTACGAAGCGGGATAGTCGCAATCAACAAGACTTCTACAATATTTGAGCTTGTACAAAACAAATTATTGAAAGTGAATGCGTTGATGGAGTAGTTTCAATAAAATTCCTTTACAAGATGATTTATATCATGTAGCCATATACTTTATTTGGAATGTAAACTTGTTAATCCTTTGATTTCCCTTAATTAAAGAAAAACATTCATAGAAAAAATTGAATTAACGTAAATAAAATAGGTATCATATATTCACGATACAGTAATCCTTTTTATCATTTATACCTTGCAGCCTTCACAAGAATGTACTCCATAGTGAAACCCAGAAGCTTTGTCTCCACAAATACGACAGAATACGTCCAGTTCTTGTGTGTATTGTTGTTTGTTCTGCAAAATATCTCATATTGATAGATATAGAAGTAAGGTAACAGAATGTGTTTTTTCACCTTTACTTTATTTTGTGAAAAAAGGGATATTTTTGTACAATTTTTTGCATATTTACCTTTCCATCTTGATATGGTTTTGTCCGATATTCTCTTAGCTTACTTCTGGAAGTTAGCAGTGGTTTATAAGGTTGTGATTCGAACACGTCATCAAGGCTTGTCGAGGTGATTTCTGGGTTGTATTCAGGTGACTCCGTTTTACTTGGTGTTGGAGAGAGTGAGGAAGAGTTGGAATGCACAGGAGAAGATCCAGTGGACCTTAAATCGCCAGGGAGTGGTTCTATTAGGTCAAGGTCATGTAAAATAAACTCCACATTGCAAGATATGTCCTCAAGTTCCATGTTCTAAAAAATGAAGAGAATCATATTTTTACTTGTATATTGTTGTGATAATATTTTTAAATGTAATTTGATTGTGTGGCCTTTAATTTTGCCTTCATTTAAAAACATGATTTTAGTAAAAATAATACTTAACAGAATGCACAAATTACGATCACAGGAACATAATCTTTAAAATTGAAGTGTATCGAGATACCATGCATTACACGAGCATTTTTGTAAAGATTTCTCAAGAATTTATCATCGGAAGGCCGTGCAACCTTCTCGTGAATAGAAAAAAAATATCCTGAACGGCAGTACATTTACTATGAGTAATCAGATAATTGTTCACATTATTGGATCGTATTTGTCTGACATGCTTCATATTTATTATAAGGTCATTGCTAATTTTACTAAATTTGACTACTTAGATTATTTTATCTATCTGATCAATACATATATATCATGGCCGAGTGTGACCGGTAACAGGGGATGCTTACTACTCCTACACACTTGATCCCATCTCTTGAGTTCATTGGTTTTGAAATTTGTACATTTAAAATGTACAATTTGCACTGAGTATGTACACTTTGTGCTCTTACATTTTGTCTGTACAAAATGGCAAAAGCGAAGGCATAAAATAAAATAAATGTTTTGTTCATGCCCTTTTAATTAAAATTCCTGGTCGGAGAAGACAATTAAATATGAATAAAATTGTACTTATAGCTGCACTGGTAAGCGTTTTACAGTAAAAAAGGCTGAAAAATATTAGAATTATTATGAACCATGTAAATCTTTATAGTTATAAATGAATATTAAGATCATCCACTAAAATGATTCCATAAATATTTCTCTGTACCTCCATGTCAATATCAATACAGAGATTTAATTCATTTAATACTCTTTTGAATACCGTTAATCGGTGTATGCCATTTGATCTTTTTTTAATTTATCCAAATCTTTTTTTCTATCTCTTTCTTCTACTTTTGTTTTGTTTGTTTTGTTTGTGCCAAAATAATGTCTCGTATGCATATACATAAATAAATTTAGAATTTATAATAATATTAATGAAATATGGCTATGAAATATGAAAGTTGAATTAAGCATTATCATTCAAATAAAATAAATATTAAATGATATTTATTTTTAAAAGTCCTACATAAATGAAATTCAAAGTACGAGGGTTGTCCCAAAACATCGTAGACAGGGGAAATAATTTAGTTCCTCTTTGCTAAATTAAATTCCTTTCCTTGTCATCGTAAAAAGCAGCATTTAATGATCACGAATTTCAAGTTTCATGAAAATAACACATTTAATAAGAAAATAATGCAAAAATAAAGAAAGCACATAAGTGCACGTCGGCGTACAAAATCAAGCGTAAATTACGTCTCTTATAAAGTCATAATCAATTTTCAAAGTTTTGCCCCTGTGTTTAACACGCGTCTCTTAAGCATCTCATTTTTTTCGAACTTGCAAACAACTCTTGACTGAGTGATCATTAAAATTCACCACTGTCCATAATTTTTCATCAATTTCAAATTTCAGTCCTCGAAAGGTCGCCTTTCATTGTAAGAAGCAGAGAATACAAAGTTTGACGTCGACCATGACCCATAACGTTCCTCACCGTCTGAATTTAACAAACAGAACTCTACCTTTTATAAGCCTATCTATTTTCAGTGCGGAGGGTGAACACTGTCCTTGAACCTCTTATGCAGTTTTTTAACAACTTCTCTACTAACATTCTAGTGTGTAATGTTGCTTCTATATCGTTTTCCGTCTCTGAAGAAGACAAACAATATTCAAAACAATTTTAGTACATCCCCATGCGCTGCAAACGCGTTTGACGACGTCATTTGCAGCAAATCCAACTCCAACAACACTTTGAAAATTACAATGCCAATCCTCTGTCTCTGATGTCATTTATGTGAAAATTTGACATGTTACTAAGATTTTGTTTCTGGTTTAACTAATATTAATTTGAGTTTTGTGCTCTACATATTGTCAGAGAAACAAATGCAATTTGAATAGTTACTAACGTAATTTATTCCGGATTTTGTTCGTTTGCCGTCAGATCATATAGGCCTTCCTATAAATCATCATAATATTATTACTATGAAAGTTTTTTTTTTTTTGTTTTTTTTTTTTTTAAATCAATATTTTAAAAAACATTGAATAATTTATATCTATGCAAAATTTGGTTAGTATTGGTTGAATGTTTACAAAGTTATTGACATTGTCTACGACTTTTTGGGACAACCCTCGTACATAACATAGATCGAGGAGCAGAAAAATATTATTTGTGGAAAAAAAAATTTCATCGATTATCTTGTTTTATATATAATATGCATAAATATATATATATATATATATATATATATATATATATATATATATATATATATATATATATATATATATATATATATATATATATATATATATATATATATATATATATATATATATATATATATATATATAAGGTACGTAGCTGCAATTCATAACATTTTCTTTTGATAGATTCAGCCTTTCTTATTAAAAACTTTTCCAGTGCAGAAGTACAATTTTATTCATATTTTATTTTCTTCGCCGACCAGGAAATTTAAATAAAAGGGCATGTGTCTATAAGCCTCCACTTTTTGAATTTGTCTTTCTGCCATTTTGTACATGTACAGACAAAGTGTAAGGGCACGAGGTGTGCACTGCCAGTGCAAAATGTACGTATCAATGTACATTTAAAGGGTACAAATTTCAATAGCAGTCGGAATATGTACAGGCTGATATCGGCCATAGTATATAAGCGTACTTTTATTATTGACCTGTTTTGATATGGTATTGTAAACTTTGAGATGCTCCCCAGCCGTGTTATATATCTTGGCTGACAAAAATAGCTCGAAGTTCATTCAGCGTTTAAGTATAGTGTGTTTCAAATTTTCTAAAAACTTAAAACAAATGAAATAATATAAATAAAAGATTTCTGTAGAATTGTAGGTTTTTTTAACCGTCATGGCTAAGTTCTATTATGTAATTCTTCACCATTAGGCAACAGACATTATTTTTTTTATTTCTTTCAAATATTTTTATCTTAAAAAAACATAGTTACTCCAAAGAAAATCTAACTGATATAATGTAGATTTCTTTATATTTTCTATGTATATATACATAAATTGTACTATTGGAAAAAACAACATTAGTAAATAAAATATCAGTAATAAAATCCTTGACCTAATTATTATATAAAGATTCGAATAACAGGACTCTAAAACACTGGGTCTTGGGGCTGGCATCAGCTGATAACCTACTGATTCATCGTACATTCACCTTTCATTGAATAGCGGTCAAGTCAGGACATTTTCTGTCCACTACATACCAAGTCATTTCCCTCTACGTGTACCGTGACTTAAATTTGATTTAAGTACCAAAAAAAAAATACCAAAATATGCTTAATTTGTTAATATTTATTTATTTTATTTATTTATTTATTTTTATTTATTTATTTATGTGGTGTATTAAATCATTTCCAATTAAGTAATGTATAACAGGAATTTCCTTTTAATGATACGTGTGTAAATACTTTGAAAGTCTTGGAATTTTGTTAACTTATATGAAATTAAAATATTTTTAGCCTAAAGTCTTATTTTTTAGTAATGAATAAATATCAACTTTTCAATTAAACTACATAATTAAAAAGTTTGAAATGTTATTCATCCTTTATTCAAAAAAGAAAGCATTCTTGACTAAAATACAAATCTTACGAAAGAATTCTATTCTTTACATGGTGAAAATAATAAGAATGGAATTCTGAAATCGATCAACCGATCTACTTTCGCATAAGTACTAGTGATCTTTATGTAAATCTATGTTTAAGGTATTTGTAAGGTACATCTAGCATTTTTATCCGCTAAAATTGAATAGAAAGTAATAATTTGATTTTTTTTTTCAAAATAGGATGAATAGAATTCTGAAATCGATCAACAGATCTACAGGTACTTTTGCAAAAGTGATTATAATGACAATCTACGTTTGTAAAGCAAGTCTAACATTTCAAATCCGCTTAAATTGGATAGAGAGTACTATTTTAAAATATTTTTAAGTTCAGTAAATAGTGTCCAAAAAGTGACGAAAAGTGACCCCGAGTATCAAGTAATCAAATAGTACAACTAAATTAGATAGCAACATTTATAATTACTTATGTTTACATAGTCATAATTAGTGTCAAGGTTTTTTTTAAATATAATATGCCAAAAACCGTGAAGAGACTATCAGTTGTAAAACTTTTCTTTATAGCAGAACGATGAAAAGCAGGACAAAAGACTGACACTCAGCCATTTCCTTAGCTGCTGTAGCTGTAGAAATAAGGAAGAGATTAAATTCCATTCTGTTTAATTTAATACTTTTTTTCTATCAAATGACCTTGACTTAATATGATGAGAGAAATAATTTTTTTTTTAAATCTTGAATACAAAAGGACACAAAGTTGAAACCTATTTGAGACTTTAATATCCATATTGTTTGTGTACACGGATCTTAACAACTACATGATATATGTTAAACAGAAATATTGATTGTAATTTTCCCTTGAGATTATATGTATGTCATTTTTCTTAAAATAAATAAAGATTTTATCATAAAAAGGAAGTCAGAAATTAATACATATATGTGAATAATTAACTCTCAAACGATCAATGAATATATATTTGCAGTTGAAAGGATGGGGTGATTTTAGAACTGATCAAGTGCAAAATACAGCTTGTTTTCGGAGTGACTGTAGTCTTTACATAATAAGTAATTTCCTAAAGGAATTCATGAGTTTTTCAATGGTTTTCCGTCTTCAGCATGCCATTTTCACTAAAAGACAATTTCATGTTTTATCAATATATTCTATCAATTACAAATATTTGTTTTATTAAGCTTTTCTAAATATACCAACTATCTTTCTCTCAGGCATTTCAAAATCTGCTGAAAGCATATACATTCTGAGACAAGTAGAAAAAGATAAATATCCTCCCACAGTAAATATTTTTATTCCTACTTTATCAAAATAACATGAACTTTGACTCCTATATTAAATAAATAAATATTGACTTACTTGTTTTGGAAATCTATAGATGTTTTATTAAAGACAATCCGCTACCGTGCTTGCCATTACATCACAATAACTGCCATCAATCTTATTCTGAAATATGCTATACTTTTAAACATAACGTAGGGGTCCCCCGCAGGATAACGTTGCGAATATATTGATTCTATATTAAATTTATGAGAGTTTTTTCTACACCAAATTTTTAAAAAGTCTTTTATATATATATATATAATGAATTCCATGCTTTTTCTAAGCCAAAATTGGGTTAAACTTTGAGTTTGAGAGGTGTATCATTAAGATGTTTCTCTCCGGTTTTATCTTAATATTCCTCTAGTCATCGTGTATTTGAAATAATAAAGAAGAAAATGTCTGCCTAGAATTTGTTTGGGTATAAAAGAGTATTTTTAAAAATGCAGACTTCTTTGGGCGCCTCCTCGTCAGGTCGGTGACCGGCAAGTTTATATGAGGACAACTCTTACTTGCCGGGTCATGTGAGGTCGCAGATCAGGTTGACCCAACCTGAAAAGATGAATGTGGGGGTCCAATTGGGTTGTAGAAAGAAGAGTATAAAAAAATATAGTTTCTCGGTGGATACTTACCAAAGCAACAAATTATTATTTTTACGTGTTCCAGTAAATGAATTGTATTATAACTATCTGCTTATTTTTAATTTTCATTTTATATCAAATAATGTGTAGAGATTATTGGGAATCTTTAGTTTTTTAAGAGATATTTTAAGAATTAAAATAGTTGAAAATGGTTTTAAATAGCGTTTCTGTCAAAGGACATTACTTGCTACTTTCTTATGTTACGTTCCGTTTTCATGAATAATTTACCGTTTACTTTGTATACTTTCTGTCGATGTTCAAATTGAGTGCTTTTGAAAACAGAAAGTCTGTTGTAGATCTGTATTACCAAACGTGGTGATACTTCTGGAACACTGAGTATTCCACTGTCTACTTTTATTTCAAGTGTGACAAAATATTGTAAAATGGAAAGAATTTCAACAGAGGGAAAGAGCTGCTAGGGTCAGGAAAGTATAATCCTATTATTTTACACTTACTGTAACAGTTGTTCTTGCAATTGCTGAGTACATATCCGAGCCTTCTTTGATCTGTCAGTGTAAATCAACTTGGCCAACCATCTCTTTCCCATAATTGAATTCCTCTTCTTTTCCGATATTTGTACAAGACAATACAAAGAAGATAGTGGTGTTTCAGAAATATCATCAGGTTTAACAATCCCTTACCAATACACATAATATATAGGCTCTCGGTTTTTAAAAGCAGTCATTTTGAACAACTGCACACAACAGGAAGTATATAAAATAAACGGGAGGTTATCCGTGAAATCTACATGTATCATAAGAAAGTAGGGGGTATTATAATTAAATTAAGTACCAGCGTTAAATTTTATTGTTATATAATATGTTATTAATCAAATATTTTAGATAAAAGAATTACCAAAAAATCTTAATTATTTCTGGGAGCACAATATGTATATATATTTAGTTTTATAAGCAGTACATACTCACAATTTTAATCACATTTTTAATACTCACATATATGATCATACAAACAATATGTATTTAACACTTATATATACTACCATTTGTTTACTAAGAAAGATAACTCTATCATACATACAAGGATTAACGTTGTATGCATTACTCGTCTTTGTGTAAAACAATCAGACTGGGAAACAAAAAATATAAATTGATGATAGAGAATAATGAATGAGGGCGCTTTTAATTGGCATTCGGCAGGAATCTGGGCGCACTTGAAAAGTGAAAATTTCGTTGTTCTGACACATGAAATTTTAGTATTCTTTTGATGTACCGCGTTCCTGTTAAAAAGGAAATGGAAATATTTTCCCGATATTGTGTTTAAATTTGCTAAAAATAACTTTAAAAAAGGCTAGATGATTCATTTGAAACAAAATGTCAAATTTTAAAACACGTTTTCCAATAGATTATGATAATGATATCTCACTCATCATAATCTATGGAATATACCCATGTTTAACAATGTATGGGAGAAAATGACTTATTGTCAATATCCGTGGGATTTATCCCATTTGAGCAAATTTGTGGGCGAAAAAATCCTGATTGAAGAAATGAAATATATGGAGATAACGAACAGTATTCAAGCTCAAAAGTCCATTAAACATTACAAAATAGGAGCAGAGCAAATACGGACCTCCAAAACATAAGAGGTGGGATCAGGTGCCATGGAGGAGTGAGCATCTCCTGCCGACCGGTCACACCCGCCGTGTGCTCCTTGTCATAATCGGGAAATAACGGAAAAATCCATCGACAATTCAGTGTGTAAATAATGGCCTAACAATTAGTATAAAAAACGTCAGTCAACATTTGACTCAATGATAAATTGTATTTGCTGACAAGGTCATTGTATCGACCATAGAACTTACGAAATGATGACTTTAAACGAGAGTGCTGATATTCTTGTTTCATCAACTTGTTTGTCAATAATTTACCTCGTTTTAGAAATTGTACATATGTAGAGCATGCTCTTGCGTATCGAATCAACTGAGAGATATAAACCCCGTATGCAGGTGATGAATGTATATTGCTGCATAAGTAAGGAAAGTTGACGATTGAAAAGTTAAAGTCATCACAATTATCATAAAGCTTGGTTGTTAGATTACCATTAACGTCTTTTTCAAGTAAAATATCCAAATATGAAACAGATGTGTCAGACTCTGTGGTATCTTTTATCTCAAACTCACCGGGATATATCGTATCGACATAAGAATGGAAATAACCATTGTTAATTGACAATACGTCGTCGATATATCTAAATGTCGAGTTGAAGGCCACAGCAAGTGTTTTCTTTTTTTCAAGTATAAGGTTTTTACAAATTCTGCTTCATATGAATAGAACGTATCCCATCTGACACTTTTACTCCCACGGGAGAAAAGTTGGATAGATGTTAGTACTAAAAATCCCACCATTCTCCCATGGGATTCTAACTTTTAGGACTCCATATCTATAGAAAAGGAGATATTTAAGAGTTCAACATGAGACCCTGTGATACTGCTAAGAAATCCCACCAAGTGCTATAATTTATTGTTGGACATCACAATTAGAAATGGTAGTAAGTCTAGACAATGTCGTTTAAATGGAGTTAAATGTCGCACTGTTCATAGTATTGGGCGTAGTAAATACCCTTTGATAATAAACACCTTGAGGAAGTAGATGTAGTTTCTCCCTCTTATATATTTTACAAGTAGTCATGACAGTATTACTAGGCTTTTATGATCTTTCTTCATTCCCCTGCAGGGGTTTACATGACCTAATACTTCATTCAATTTATAGTAAGAAGTTTAGTATACAAAATAAAATCATTAAATTTTCATGTGTATCTTAAAATACATAAATGTGGTGTGTATGTGACTTGTAACTTCAAATTGATGATTGAAAGACTAATAAGAAAACCAGCGAGAGACGTTGAATAATTTAATATGTTTCTAATGATAATAACACGACCAAAAACTTATTGAATTCTTAGGTAAAGATTTGCGTTGGAATATAGAAGATTGTAGTTTGTGTTAGATTGTACTTGACATTATTTATAATAAACAACAAAAAGCTCCAGTCTCAGAATTAAATTTCTTCTCTCAAGAATGAAAGTATTAAAGACACTGAATAATTATCCATTTCAACAATATTTTTTTCCTTTTTTAAAAAAAGGCTACGTATATTAAATGAAATTATAAGTGAACTGAATATATTATTCTCCTATCAAACCGCTTGAAGTAACATTTAAAATATGTAAAATTTGAAGGCTTTGTTGAAAAAGACATTGTCTTACTTTTTACACTTATTGGTGGAAAATTCAGTTGTCTTTAAATATTACTAGGTTTCAAGAAGTTTTCATTGTTAGATAGGTAATATTTCCATTTTATTTGATGACAAATACAATTTTAAAAAAACACACTGCATGGGTGATTGAATTTTTATCTTTGTTAATTATCTACTGTTTACTCTCCCTTATAAAGCTTTTTGCTTTCAAAATGTGGATTTTAATGTTTACTGCGCAGATGGTCACATGTCAAATACAGTACTTAATGCGTGTTGCTACAAAGTTTTTCTATTCTTCGTGTACGTTGAACTAAACTCTTTCAATTATTATAATGATAATGTGTTGCTCAAACACGATTCACCTCGCCTGATTTATAAGTTAATTTTCATAAGCATGTAATATTACCAGTTTACTAATTTAAATAATTGCATAAAAGATGTCGATCCCAAATAATGTAAATGTAAATCTTACATTATGCATACTCTTTTATACCATTATATATGTTGGATATTTGCTGTAATTTGCTAAAGACAACTCTACATTATTCATACAAAGATAAAAGAGGTAAGTTTTACTCGTGTGAAATACTCTAAATCTGGAAATATGAATGAACAGTAGAATATAAAGTTCATACATTTGTATTGCGAAATTAAATATGGACTAAAGATAAGATTGATTGATTGTATATTGTTTTACGTCCCATTCGAGAATTTTTCACTCATATAAAGACTATATACCGATAAAGGGCTTCAAATTCTTACCTTTACTCAGAACCATTGAGCAGTGAGGGATTTTTATCATGCCAACGCCTGCCGTGACTAGGGGCCTCGGTTTTTAAGGTCTCGTCCGAAGAACCCGCAACTTTCACTTCAAAGTGCCGAGCGCAGGACGAAGGAACAGTTGCTACCCATTTTTTATCGACTTAGGTCAGTCGAGGCCGAGATTCGAACTCACGACCTACTGATCACGGAGCGAGCGCTCTACCGACTGAGGTACCGTGAACGGTACTAAAGATTATAAAACATAGATGTACTCTTATTCATTGAATTCAATTACAGCTGTATATGAATCAATCAAAGAAAATAACAAGTTGATGAAACAAGGATATCAACAGTTTCGTTTAAAGTCATCATTTTGCAAGTTCTATGGTCGATGCAATGAGATTGTCATTACAATCTACATGACAATCATTACAATACAATCTAGTCGCCCGCGTGGCGCAGTGGTTAGAGCGTTCGCTTTA